TTTTTCTATATACCAATTTGCAAGTATCAAACAAGAGATTTCAGCAAAACTGAAGCAGTACAACTAAAAAATTATTATATTATAAGTACTATATTACTTTATGTGTACTTCAAACTAGGTATAGCAGATAAAACCTCATTATAGGCTATATTAGCCAAAATACGATAGTTTCCTGTACCTTCTTTTTCTCCACGAATCGTATATGGTACATAGAAATTAGACAGCACTGAAAAATACAACATTATAGTATTAGTATCAAAATACTCTAAGTATAGCCTAATTTATATATTCTATGTATAATATATAGTCCTCACTATATACTACTCTAACAAATGCATCATACTCACCTAAATATTCTTACCTCACTACAAGTATTGAGCCACTGCGATTTAGGACAACACTAAAATTGGCAATCAATAGAAGATTATACTATAAATGTTGTGGGCTTATGCTAAGAATAAAGTTAAAACCGCATAACATACAATACAGATCCAGGCGTACTCTTCTAATGCACTCCCAGTAAAACAGCCATATCCTACTTGCCTACTCCTTCACGGCATTCCTGTAAGTATGCCGGTATAGATGAGTGCACTATAGCAAGTGAAGTATTCGCAATAGTCAGACACTAATGGAATAAGCGAAAGGAGGTATGCACGAGCTCTGGTACCTACACAAAAAACTGACTTGTGGAAAACATAGCTAAACAAGTTTTAGGCCATAAGTCGCGCATTTTATGCAAATGGTGCATTTACACAAAATGTACAACGATTCCATAAGCGGTCGACTAGTTAATATAATTCTCCACGTTAGAGAATCAGACATAAAAAGAAATCCAACACAACGCGTTTTTCAGCGCATATTAATTGTTTAACATAAGAGACGCAAAGAAATATACAAAATCACTCAATCTTGCACAGTTACTGGACAAATAAACGGCTAATGGTAAATTTTACGCCTTATGAACATGATTTTAAGGAATTAGCGGTACAGTAACATGTATATAGGCGGCAATCTTTAATTTTTAAAAAACCTTAACCTTAAGAACCTTATTCAGTTCATCTCATTATTTATATTACCTAGTTAATATGCCATTATAGATGAATTTAACCAATTTTCTTTAATAATTAGCGTGTTCATATTATTCATTATGATTTCCCTGTTCTCTAATGATTAATTCATATTTGCTTCGTTGTAGCATGATGACTCTTTCGTTCTTCCTTTCATCTGTATCTGTATTGCAAGTATTGCAGTCACATTACCATTATAGGAAGTTACAAAACTTATATTAATACATTCCATCTACACAGTTATGTTCAATTAACATTACCTAAAAAGGTTAATATGGAAGTATACTCTGCTTGGTGTCATCCATATTCTTCTATATGTGCAACCACTGTTATAATCATATTAATTGGTTTCTNAAAAAAAAAAGAGGGCCATACCTCTTAAAAAATAGGGACTAATGCTGATGGGGTTAAAAAAGTCAAGGGCGGCATGAGGGGTCAGTCCTTGGCGCCTCCAGCATTAGTCGTTTCCATAAGGGAACACTTAGGGTGGCCAACCCCTGGCAGCAGTCCTGCCGAACCCAATTCACTGGGATGACTCCTCTCTGCGTGCAGGGCTTGACCGTCCACACGCTTAGATTAAAGGTCAAAAAAAGTCACAATCAATCAAAATAATTATCACACAATTTCACAATTTATAAAAGTAAGAGAAGCCAATAGCTATATTATTAAAGATTTTGGTAACGATAACAGAGGTTGCACATGTAGTATAAATTGTAAAGTTTGCAATATCACGGTTAATGAGCATTTCATCTATTCGAAGGTTACAAAAATTAAATTAAAAACATTTAAGCGACCTAACACCACCTGCTATACTAATAACGTTATTTATTGTCTAAGTTGCAATAATTGTGGACAACAGTATGTAGGGATGACAACTAGGAAATTAAAAGAAAGAATAGGAGAGCATATTACTAACATAAATACGCATAAAAAGCATACACCATTATATGACCATTTTCTTATTTGTAATAAAGGGATCAAAGTTACAGTATTAGACTCGGTGGAAACAAATAATAAAGCAATCTTATTAGAAAAAGAACTTTTTTGGATAAAGTTACTAATGACACCATACCCATTCGGATTAAACGATAGTATTAAAGGGTATGGTAATATTAGTAATATAGTTAACCCTTTTATGATGAAAGGTAAATCACCCTACTACTCATTAAAAATTACTAAAATAAGGGAAAATAGAGGATGTAAGAGAAAGAAAAGAAATAAAAACAACAAATATGAAGAAATTTTAGATATAATCAATGTTAAAGAAAATACTCAAGAGCCGTCCTATTATTACAGATTAATTAAGAGCTTGAAAAAATCAGATATCAAAAAAATAATACAATTATCGGTACAAGAAAATTTTTTAAAGGAAGTTAATAATATAACAAAACTAATGATAATGTGCATTTTATCGCAATTGTATTTCAACTTTAATATAGAAGAAGTTAATAAAAAAGGAACGAAATATCATAACGTAGTAGTTAACTATAAAAGTAGAATTTTTGATAACTTACAATTACAAAGAATACTTAATTCTTCATTCATTAAAAAACTTATTTATAATAATAAACACAATGATACGGAATATATTCCTATTAGAATAGTTTATAACTATACCAATGAA